GGTGGGGGGTGGGGGGGAAACTCTGTGCATGCTCTGATGCACCCTCTAAACATTTTTTTTTTCCTTTTTAAGGTGCACCCCTCGGTTTCTCCGTGGGCCCAACGCAAGGCGTGAGTCATTTGAGAAAAACTGAGCTATGGAGAACAGAATCTGGCATGCATCACCAAGAGAGAAACCAAGTTAGATTTTAACCACGAACTCCGGACAAGGAGCGGAGACAGGAAGTGGATTCTTTCAACACATGCTCAGGAACCGAGTTTACTCTTGAGCCGGACGAGATGCCCTCAAATGGAGATTTGATTTAGGTGAAAGACGATACGCCCGTTTTCTCGTGAGTTTAGCGAAAGGAACGACACACGTCCGTTATAACAGAACGACAAAGTTGGAAGAGACCTCGGAGGTCTTCTGGTCCAACCCCCTGCACACCAGGGGTCTGCAACCTTAAACACTCAAAAGAGCCATTTGGACCCGTTTCCCACAGAAAAGAAAACACCGGGAGCCACAAAAACCCTTCCCGGGCCTGACTACAAAACTAGCATACGTAGTCGAACGAAACGTTGTTTTCTTCTGAAACTTTTCTTTTTGCTTGGATTTCCCCATTGGTTGGCCTACCTGGGGTTTGAAAAGCTCAATAAATCGCGTGCCGGCGGGTTTCGCACTTTGGTGGTTGTGACGCCTATTTTGAGTGACAGGGAGCCGCAGCAGAGGGGTGAAAGAGCCACAGGCGGCTCCCGAGCCACAGGTTGCTGACCCGTGCCCTACACCATTCCAGACAACTCTTCTTAAAATCCTCCAGTGATGGAGCACCCACGATTTCTGGTGGCAAGCTGTTCCACTGGTTAATTGTCCTCACTGTCAGAAAGTTTCTCCTTAGTTCCAGGTTGCTTCTCTCCTTGATTAGTTTCCACCCATTTCTGGTGCTTTGGAGAATAGGCTGCTGATCCCCTCTGCCACATCTAGCATCAGGGTCTGCTTAACCCTGGTTTCCTGAGCAAGCCACAAGGGGGGTTCACACATCACACGAAATCCTGCAGGATTTATAGGAACTCCGGCGGTTAGGAGCTGTTATGAAAGGATGACGTCAGCGTGAAACAAGGTTTTTTTTTTTAAAGCTGAATTCCAGCGGGAATTTCCTGGCTGGCAACGGAGCGTCATGAAAATAACCTTACTCATGATATATATTATATAATGTTATATATATATATATTATATAATATATAATTAGATATATATATATAATGTTTTCTGAGGTTTTCGCGGGTATTTGTATGTAGGTCTTTGGTTATTCGGGTTTTCTCCCACGTAAAATTGGAAGTGTCTTGGCGACGTTTCGACGAAGTCTCATTTGTCATCTTCAGGCTGGTGTTTTCGGCTTCGTGCTTCTAGGAGCAATGTGAGATCGCAGAATAAACAGCTGCGATCTCATACATATACATATATATATATTTGAGCAAATTGATTCAACTAAAGAGGAAACAGTGAGGTCATGTAGCCTACCCCACAGGGTTGTGGGGTAAGAGTTGGTCGATCTATTGAAGGGACAGAATAATAGAATGCAGAATAATAAAGAGTCGGAAGGGAATTTGGAGATCTTCCAGTCCAATCCCTTGCTCAAGCAGGAGACCTTATTCCATTTCAGACAAAACAACCTCTTCTTAAAAAGTTCCAGTGTTGGAGCATTCACAACTTCTGGTGGCAAGTTGTTCCACTGGTTAATTGTTCTCCCAATCAGGAAATTTCTCCTTGGTTCTAGGTTGCTTCTCTCCTTGATTAGGTTCCACCCGTTGCTTCTTGTCCTGCCCTCAGGTGCTTTGGAGGATTTGACCCCCTCTTCTCTGTGACAGCCCTTCAAATATTGGAAGACATGTCACCCCTAAATCTTTCCTTTGTTAGGCTAAACATCCGGATAGATTCAAGATAAAGTAGCTCTAGCAAATGGGTTGAACTCAACGCATGCCGTGGGAACTGGATATCAAAGTGGGAAAAGACAGGAGGAATCTGAGGTTTTTTCCCCCCAAGAAATAAGCCAAAAAATAATCACGTTATTGGAGCAGTTGTTTTGCCTACAGTAATATATCAGTTCCTTTTTTAAAAACATATTTTTATTGTTTATTTTATTTTTTTATTTTGTCGCATTTCTATGCCACCCAACTCCCAAGGGACTCTGTTTACATATAATATACATTGTTTACATATAAATAAATATAAATATATATAAATAAATATATATGTTTTCTATATTTATATAGATATATTTCTATATTTAAATATATAGTTATATATTTATCAAAGCTGTTTCCCTAGCCAGTTTATTGAACAAACCATGGTTGGCCAGGTCTGCCTCTTATGCCCAGCCCAAACCCAAATCACCCACATTAAGGATTTTGTGCAACGTATAAATATTCTTATCTTCCTTTTAAAGTCAGTTTGCGCTGTCCGAAATAATTCACTCGTTTTCAGTTGAATTTTGAATAACACCAGCTTCGGTGCTCTTAACTTCTTCCCATCAAACACACACAGGTCTTCGCAATTTGTAAAAGTCTATAATGAAATAGCTAAGCTATCATTGCTAAGCACTTCCGAACTGTCCAAGAGTCATTATTTAAATGGAATCTTTTTCCCGTAGGAATTATTCCACCTCGTTAAATGCAACCATCCTTCAGGATGATGCCAAAGGACTGGTGAATTTCTAAGGCCTACCTCGCAGGATGGTTGGGAGGATAGAGCGGAGGCAAACGAGAACATTGTGGAATAGTTTTAGTGTTACGAGCGTGAAGGGGGCAGTCCCAGAGACATTTGGGGAGGGGTTCTGGAGGAGGAGGAGGAGGATGACGACTATGGGGTCCTTGGTGGTCTCTGAGCTTGGTGGTTTTCTTGCAGACGTTTCATGACCCAACTAGGTAACATCATCAGTGCTAGAAAGGAGGAGAGTCTGCTAGAGAACCTCCCAGTTGAGATAAACATATTCCCTTCTGAAGGGAGATGTCCACACGAGCCTTGAGAGGTGGGATTTCTTCCTGCAGGGATTTGTGGGTGGTTTAATTCCAAGGGCATCATCATCATCAGGACGGCCAGACCCGGCTTCTCCTCATCTGCCTGGTGCCTCCGCTTGCCGTACCAGCCAGGTGGAAGAGCCGGGCTGCGCCAAGGTGATTCAGCTCCAGGGTGCCCGAGGCGCCGTGAATGATTGCAGGGCCCCACCCAGACAGGACTTTGGTCTCACCTGAAGGGGCTGCAGGAACCGGATTAAGCCGCACCCAAGGAGCCGAAAGCAAGATAATTCTGAGCTTTTTGATGGCATTCCCAGAAATAAACTGAGATTATTTCATTAGAACCAAGAGTTCTTAATGAGGGCCCGTCCCTGGGAGACTGTGTCGTTGAGTCACGACGCCAGGCTTAAGGAACCCACCTTTCGCAAATAGGAAGGGTGGCTCTGACTAACCGGGACTTCTTTGCAACGTTAGAACGGCCCAGTCTCCTCTATAGTCCTCGACTCACGGTTGTCCGCTTTTACAGGCCTTACGACTTACGACCAAAATGGGAGCCCAACATTTCTGTGGCTAAGCGAGACAGGTTTGAGTTTTGCGTCCCCATTTCTTACCACTTAAACCGTGTTAAGTTAGTAAACACGACTGGTTAAATTTAATCTGGCTTCTCCCATTGACTGTCACAAAAGGGGATCGCGGGACGCTGCCACGGTCATAAATAGGAGTCGGTGGCCAAGCGTCTGAATTTCGATCACATGATCTGGGGTGGGGATGCTGCCACAGTGGTGTGAAAAAGGATCGTAAATGGACTTTTTTCAGGGTTTTTTGTAACTTTCAAGAGCCACTAAATTAATCATTGTTAAGACTGTGTCAAGCCTTGGGAGAACCATGATCATCTCACAAGCTGGCTTAGAAGCTGTTTACCTTCTGCAAAAAACTGCACCCAATCGGAGTTTCCTCACAATAGATTTTTTTAAAAAAAAAAACACAACTTTTTACCAAGATTTAGAACCTGGATGGTTGAGAGAAGGAAGTGAGACTTGTATTCCGCCTGCATGGAAATCTGGTGAAATTGGAGACAAAAATCTAGGTTAGCTATTGCTGGAGATTTACTCCCAACCCCGAAGGCAACCTGGTTAGATATTAACTATGTTCAAAGAAGCTTTTAAATTGAATTTGCCCACCTGCCTGCCTGAAACTTCAAGAGTGGTGTTTCTCAACCATGAAAATGGGTGGACTTCAAACTCCCAGGGGGGATTTTGGGAGTTGAAGTCCATACGTGCAAAGTTGAGGATTTTAAGATTTAAGAGGAAAAATCCGCTCTTAAAAACAGGTGGGATGTTGCTTTTTCCAAATTTTATTTAGAAGGCCAAATCGTTCGCTGGCTTCAATCAAACACAGGGGTTAACCAAATGTAGGATTTAAAAGAGGAGGAGAAAGAAAAACCCACTGGTGTGGTCTGTGGGTGGGTGGGTAACGCTAACCTTAAAATGCACAAAATTTCAAAGTTGAATTGTTTAGTTTCTGGAGGGGTGGGGTGTGGGATGTTTCCAGAACTGGGAGATAAAACCCTAGAGAGACTGGGGAGGAAAAAGGACATTTGGTGTAGGTCCCTTGCTGTTTCATGACCCAACTAGGGAACATCATCAGTACAAAAAAAAAAAAGGGGGGGGGGCCTCTGCAGCAAACCCAACTCCCTTTCCAGCGCTGATGATGTTCCCTAGTTGGGTCCTGAAACATCTGCAAGAAAACTGAGCTCAGAGACCATCAAGAATCAATATTCTTTCTCATTCTCCTCCTCCTCCCTGCACAACCCTCTCCCTTCTAGCATTGATGATGTTCCCTAGATGGGTCATGAAACGCCTACAAGCTCAGAGAGCCCCAAGGACGCCACCCTTCAACCCTGAGCTACGAGTTATTTCCCTCCGTCGACAAAGAGATTAACCCACCCAGGATTTCGACGTCAGCCTCTTCCCCCGCCCCGAGCCAATAAAACCAGGCGAGGCGGCAAAGTTAGAATTATTATTTTTTTTATTACTGAATTCAGGTTCTTGGTGGTGCTGCTTCCATAGTTTGTTAATTCCACCCCCCAACGTAGAGTTGGGTGCAACTGTTTTTTTTTTCCACAATATTTTATTTGTACACGGTACTACAGACAAAAGCACAGAGCTACTATGGCAGTAGTTAAGGGGAGGGAGAGTTAAAGAGGAAGGGGAGAGGAAGTTGATCACAGGGAGGGGGGCCCGGGGAACGCAAGTTGCCATTCCACACTTTCTTGTGGGGGAAAAAAAAAAAAAAAGAACACACACGCGTACAGAGATCCATTTTTTTAAAAAAACACACCCTTTTTCTTTTTTTGTACACACTGGAAAAACGGACTTAATTCTGGAAATTCGGGTCCCCGTCGATTCCCAACCATTGGCTGCTTACCGCCGCCGCCCCCTAACCCTCGAGAGGAAGAGGAGGAGGAGAACTGGAGGAAGCAGGTGGACCAAAGAAAACCAAGGAAGAGGCTCCTTTCGGAATGTCACAAGGGTTTGAAAGGGGGGACGGAGGAAGAGAGAGAAAGAGAGGGAAGGAAGGAGGGAAAGGAGCTGGAGAGGAATAGAGGAGGGGGGGGAAAAAAGAAAAACTGTAGCACGTTTGGCAAATTTGAACAGCAGGCTGCAAGCCAGCTGCAGAGACAGGAGGAGAGAGAGAGAGAAAGAAAGAAAGAGAGAGAGCACCAGGCCAGGGAAGATGAGAAGGCAGAAAAAAAATAATAATTGGAATGGAACCGAGAAAAGGAAGGAAAACCCCCCCAACCCCACCCCCAACAGTAGCATGGGGCCATTAACATGGAAGCTCCAGAGTCACTGGCACGACAGGGGACCCGGGAAAAGGGAGGAGAGGGGGTCTCACACAGGCTTGCCCTCCAAGCTGATGACGCAGCTGCCTCCCAGCTTTTCCGCTAGACTCTGGCGGTCTTTAATGTCTTCTAGGCCGTTTGCTTGCCATTCGTGCTTGATCCCTGTGAGGGAGGGAGAGAAAGGAGGGGTGAGATTTTTTGGGGGGGGGATATGGGGGTTGTCCCCACTCCGGCACCTAAGGTTGGGTATTCAGATTTATTGGACTCATACACTGGAAGGGAGTTTGATCCTAGGTAGAGGCAGGTATTTCTCGGGGCACAATGAGAATAGATCTGCCGAACAAAACTCCTCATCGGCAACAGGAAGGGCATTCGGCCAGGAAACACTCAGCTCCATTCAATTGCCCAGACTCCACCCCGTAAAGGGATTATGCGGTCGTTAGATGATGATACAGCTGGAAGGGACCTCGGAGGTCTTCTAGTCCAACCCCCCCCCCCCAAGGCAGGGTACCAGGGACGGGCAATTTATTTTCCCAAGGGGCCGCGTGAGAAACTGGGACGGTGGCAGAGAACCACACCGATAGGGCTGAGAAGATGTGTAGGCATGGACGGGTGCAAATATACTAAATTATAAATAACCATTTGCAGAGTCCTTCATAATAAAAGCAATCCACGCAGACCCAGATAGGGACAGCCATACGGCTGCATGTAGCCTGGGACCATAAAAATGTCTTTTAAAAAAAAAACAAAACCTAAAAGTACTTTTATTAAAAACTACAGGTAGCCAAATTTACAAATAGTTCATTGAGTGACCGCTCAAAGTTAAAACAGCAGTTAAAAAGTGAGCAATGACCATTTTAAAAAAAATACTTATGTCCGTCGTAGCATCCCCATAATCAAAATACGAGACGCTTGGCATCTGACTCGTACTTATGACAGTTGCAGTGTCCTGGGGTCACGTGGTCCCCTTTTACGACCTTCCGACAAGCAGAGTCAATAAGGAAACCGGATTCATTTAACCGAGTTGCTAACTTAACATTGGCAGTGATTCACTTAACATCTTGGGCAAGAAGAGGTCGGAAAAAGGAGGCCAAATTCATTTCACAAATGTCCCACTTAGCAACAGAAAGTGGTCATAAGTCAAGGACTACCTGTGAACCATGCAAGTCAGTCAGGGCCAGACGGGGACGAGCCAAAGGGCTGGATTTGAACCCGGGGGCCGTAAAATACCCAGCTCTGCCTTGTACCATTATCTCCGATCCCTCACTGGCTCTTGACCCCTTCCCTCTGCCCCCCATAGCAGAGCCCCCAGAGAACAGAATCCTGGCTCCAGAAAAGTAATTTAAATGCTGGAAAACCAAAATATTTTGAAGCTCCCGCTTTTCCTATCAAGTCACACACAACCCGATACTTCCACTGGGAGATTAAGCTGCTGGGAAAAAGGGGAGGCAGATGTACCCCAGAATCCCCAACCAGAACTGGAGGAGCCAATCGTAACTCATCTCCAACTTTTTAAATCCCCAGCATTTCCTTGATGCTGGAAAAAGGGGAAGTCTGCCTTTGAAACAGGTAGAAAAGGGGGGGGGGGTTTGTCAGAAAGACCCAAATTGGCTGTACAGCTTAGTCCTCGGCTTACAACAATTGGGACTAGGAATTTCCATCTTTAAGTAAGGCCGCTGCTAAGTGAGCTGTGCCCCCGTTTTATGATTCTTGCCACGGTGGTTAACCCCTGTGGTTGCAAAAGTCAATCGCGCGGTCGTTAAGCCAACCTGGCTTCCACCCACTGGCTTTTGTCAGAAGCCGCAGACGGCGATCTCCGTAGCCTTGGGGCCCTCGTTGACAATTGTCAATAAATACACGCCAGTGTGCCAAGCACCCGAATTGTGTGATCGCACGACGGAGGGGATGAGACGATAGGACTAACACTTAAGTGACTTCCTTTCAAGTGCCGGTATCGTTTTGGATGGTTGCTAAGTGAATGGTTATAAGTCAAGGACTACTTGCAGTAGAAGTTCAACATGGGGCGGGGAAGAAAGTAAGAAGACTGGGTTGACTTGGGACGCTAAAAGATCCCTGAGGTTTTAAGACGCCTGATTCAGAATCAGGTCACAATATTTATTTATTTATTTAATATAATTTGTATATCCCAGAGCCTTTCCTAAAAGTAGGGGGGTTAAAAGTCCAGAGGAATCAGTCCAAACTGGGATATTACAGGTAGTCCTTGACTTATGACTATGACGGAGCCCCCCAAATGTACATCGCTGAAGCCAAACGTTTGTTAAGCGAGCTCTCTGCCCCGTTTTATTTTGTTGTTAAGGGAATCGTTGCATTTGTTAATAACCACCGGTTGTTAAGTGAACCTGGCTTCCCTGAAGGTCACAAATGGGGATCGCGCGACCCTGGGATAAAATACGACTCCGTTGCCTGATCAGGTGACCAAGGGGAGGCTGTAAATGTTAAAGTGTGAAAAACAGCCCAGTGTCGTGTTGTTTTTTTCCAGTGTCGTTGGAACTTCGAATGGTCATTAAACAAACTGTTGTTAAATCAGGGACTGCCTGTATTTCAATTCAACTCGCTTCCGGTTTCTTTTTTTTTATTGAAAAAAACTCGCTTCCGGTTTCTAACTGCAGGCGTTAGGCCTTCCTCCGGCCAATGGGGAGCCGAGAAAGAGAACTTCCTCACGCTGGGCATCCGTCAAGTAAGATGCCGACATGTCCAGGGAAGAGATCGATTTGAGGGCAAGCCACGGCTACGGGCATTCAAACTGGGTCAACCTGTCATCCCTGAGCCCCAACGGGCAGCCAGCCAGAACCCTGGTGGTACAAGCCCTGCCTCTACCTGTGCTCACACCTGCCGGCTCTCACCTGGAAATTTCTTCTTGAGGGCATCCTTGGAGCTGGCGTAGATCATCTTGCTCTTCAAAGGAGCACTCTCGGGCGCCCTGCAGGGAGAGAGACAAAAGCTTTCACGCACCGGGTATGTTACTGGCCTCCTGCCCACCACCATTTCCCTGCCAGTTTTGCCATTTTATTTTCACTTATTAAGCGTTTTATGCTACCCGTATCTCCCTATGAGGCGACTCTAGTTCCTGTATTGATGCTGTGGAAGGAGCAGGGTTTTCAAAAGGAAGCAAATGTGGAAGAGGTCATTCATTAATAAATCCCCCAAATAGCAATAGCAATTAAGACTTACATGCCGCTTCATTAGTGCTTTACAGCTCTCTCTAAGCGGTTTACAAAGTCAGCTTCTTGCCCCCAACAATCCGGGTCCTGATTTTAGCTACCTCAGAAAGACGGAAGGCTGAGTCAAGCTTGAACCGATCAGGATCGAACTCCTGGCAGGGCAATTTGCTTGCCAATAATGCATTTTAACCGGAGGGAGGGAAGGAAAGGGAATAGCACGTAGACTTATATACCGCTTCAGTGTTTTACAGCCCTCTCTAAGCAGTTTACAGAGTCAGCCTCTTGCCCCCAGCAATCTGGGCCCTCATTTTACTGACCTCGGAAGGATGGAAGGCTGAATCAACCTCAAGCCGGTGAGGATCAAACTGCTGGCAGTCAGCAGAATTAGCCTGCAATGCTGCACTCTAACCACTGTGCCACCATGGCTCAAATGGGGGCATTCTCAGGAGGAGGAGCACTTCACATGAACTCTACATCACCCACTAACTAACCCAGCATGAGCCTTGCTGCTTGGGAGAGGTTAACACGGGGAGCCAAGAAGCTTCCCCACCTTCAGACCGGGCCTCATACCTGCCATCAAGAGGTGCATCTTTAAAATTAAATCGCTTATGGGAAGACTGGAGGACAGCAGGATGTGGTTGAGACCCTCACCTGTGCATTCTTTTCAGGGAGGCCCCAACTGAGATGGACGAGAAGCTGCAAGCCAGCCCAGCCCCAGACACATACACACCCTCTCCAGGTCCTCAATTATACAGATCATCCCAACTTAATTATTGTTTTCTCGCCCCAGCTTAACATACTGGGAGTGAAGCAGCTGTCTAGAAGTCTATTCCCCAGGTACCGAGGTTGGGAGGGAGAGGAGATCAGGCAGGATATGGGGCGGTCTTCCTACAGTGCTTTAATTTTAAAGGTGGGGAGGAGAGCTCAATAACACACAGACACACACACAGAGCTCTCTGTACCAATCTGGGAGGGACCAGTCGTGGCCGTATCCCACCTCATATGCTGATGGAGGAAAATCACCTCCTTAATGGCACACAGCCAAGCAGCTTTGGTTTAGGAAGGATGAACCCGCCAATTCAGACAAGAGGCTGGTGATAAGGCGCCAGTCCTCACTCCCCAGCAAGGGGGCAGCCTAGGCAACTCAGAATAACAGAGTAACAAGAGTTACAGAGTTGGAAGGGACCTTGGAGGTCTTCTAGTCCAACTCATGCCTCTGAAACAGACTTGGATTAATGACCATCAGAAAAACTCCCGGAATAGGGCAGGAAGCTTGCCTGCGCAAAGTATTCAGCCTTTAGTCACTGGGAAAAGGGTCTTTGAAGGGGGGTGGGGAGCATGGCCACACAGGAAGGAAGGAGAAAGAGGGAGGAAAGGAGGTCAAAGAGTGAGGGAGGGAGGGAGGAGAAAGCAAAGAAGAAAGGAGGGAGGGAGGGAGAAAGAGCAAGGAAGGAAGGAGGAAGGAAAGAGAAAAAGGGAGGAAGGAAGAGTGCAAGGAAAGGAGGAGGAAAGGAAGACAAAGAGCAAGGGGAAAGCAAAGAAGAAAGGAAGGAGGAAGAGGGAGGGAGGAGAAAGAGAGCAAGGAAGGAAAGGAGGAGGAGGGAGAAAGAGGGAGGGAGGAGGAAGAGTGAGGAAGGAGGAGGAGGGAAGGAAGCCTCACCAGAAGAGGAAGACCAGATCTTCCTTTTTGCTCTCCTTGGTTTCGTAGGTGGCGTCATAGAGGGCGTAGCGGCAGTCGCTGGGGGGGCAGCATGGCGACGAAGTGCAGGTAGGGGTCATCGACGGTGTCTCCCAGGTCGCCCACCAGGATCTCCTTGCCGACCTCCAGGATGATCTTCTTCTTGTCCTCACTCAGGCAGAAGATGACGGCCTTCTTGCGCTTCTTCTGCTCCTCCTGGGGGGCGTGTTTGCGCACCTTCATGTCGTTGAACACCTGGATGACTTTGTCACAGACGGTGACCCCAGAGGCCTGGGCAGGGGAGACGACACCAAGGGGAGAAACACTCAGCGACGGACCCCAATGAGGGTGCCACAGTACAAGAAGTCCTCGACTTGCAACCACAACTGAACCCAAAATGTATGCTGCTAAGGGCGGTGTCTATTAAGTGAGCTTCGCCCCATTTACAACTTTCCTTGCCACATCTGTTAAGTGAATCACTGCAGGTGTTAAAATTAGTCAGTGAATCCAGCTCCCCTCCCACCCTTGACTTTGCTTGTCAGGTCGCAAAAGGGGATCACGTGACCCCAGAACACTGCAACTGTCATAAATGTGAATCAGGTGTCAAGCATCCCAATGTAAATCACATGACCCTGCTCACTAATCACGTCATTAGTGTGGAAAAAAAAAACGGTCCAAAGTCACTTTTTCCAGTGCCGGTCTAAGTACGGTCACTAAACAAATTGTTGTAAGTTGAGAACAACCAGTACTGAATGCACCAGTGCTGCTTCTCAACCTGGGCAATGGGTGGACTTCAACTCCCAGAATTCCCCCGCTAGGTAGCCCTCGACTTATAAGCATTCATTTAGTGACTGTTTAAGTTACAACGGCACTGGAAAAAGTGACTTCTGATCGGTTTTCTGTTGACCGCAGTAGCATCTCCACAGCTATGGGATCAAAACCGACATGCATTTATGATGGCTGGGGCATCGGGGGTGGGGGTCACCTGATCATCGTTTGCGCCCTTCCCAAGTGGTTTCTGACAAGCAATGGGGGAAGCCATGTTCCCTTAAACACCTGCAGTGATTCACTTCACCACCACGGCAGAAAAAGATTGTAAAATCAGACGTGACCCGCTTAATGACCGTGTTTTAACAATGGAAATTCTAGCCTTGTGTTCCCAAGTCGATGTCCCCTGTACAAGATTACGACAGGTAAGGAAGGCGTGGGAAATCCCAGGCACATGCTAAGTGTATCAGTCACCGTTTGTTAAATCAGATTTGCCCATCACGAGGTTCACATCATATGCTAAACCAGAAAGCACAGCTAACTAACTAGTAGCCGGGATGCTCTTCAAATGTTCTACCCTGTTTTTGCACAATATTCCAATATTTGGGGGGTTGCCACAGAGAAGAGGGGGTCAAGCTATTCTTCAAAGCACCTGAAGGCAGAACAAGAAACAACGGATGGAAATCAAGGCAGAGAAGCAACTGAAGACGAAGGAAAAATTTCCTGACAAATGAGAACAATCAAGTTTGTCTCCAGAAATTGGGAAGGTGCTCCATCGCTGGAGGTTTTTATGAAAAGACTGGACAGCCATTTGTCCAGAATGGTGTAAAGTGGGTTGGACTAGAAGACCTCCGAGGTCCCTTCCGATTCTGTTATACCAAGACAAGGAATGGATTGCCCACAAAAGACTGCACCGCCCCTATCTCTGCAACTTCCTTCCCACCGAGCGCAAACTCTGGCTGCGGAAAAGGGAACTGATTGACTGATCAAAATCTCTCTGTAGAAGACCCATTTTCAGGATAGCCGAGTTCGCACAACGTTGTTAGGGCTGGGCCAACGTGGGATCGGATTATTTGTTCAGGGCAGGAGGCCAGCCAATTGTGGCAACCAAGAAGCCAGAATAGGGTTTGTGTGTTTCGAGGGGGGGGGGGGGGGGGGCATAAAATCGTGATTACAGAGGCCAGGGAAAGTTTGAAGAGTCTGTTGGGAAAAACCAAGCAGGATGAAAGGGATACTTTCCTCCAGCTGGCTGCATCAAGCTTTTCATTAAAAGCAAGCCTTTCAGAAGGATGCCGGCCGAAGAGGAAGCTCCCACCCTCGTGAGACGAGCCAACCGGAGGCAAACTCGGCTCCGACTGAAGGCAGGAGAGCTAGGCGTGGCACCAGCCCAGAGAGAGAAAAGAAGGGAATACCAAGGACTGCCTTTGGCAATCCCCTCTTCCAGATTTCGCTGGAAGGAATCGTAGCTTGCCATCATAGCTTACTGGGGAGGGGGAAAAAGTACAGGCCGAAAAGAGCAGGTGGCCCGAAGCTGCCAGATGGTGCTTGGGCTGCAGAAAGGGAAGTGGCGCCCTGCCGCAGAGAGAGGAGGGGGGGGGACGGGTGGCTGCAAAGAGAAATGTTCGAGATGGAGGAAAAGAATTCAAAATTGCAGAGTTGGAAGCCTGGGGTGGGGGTGGGAATTTGCCGACCGTAGAATTATATGGGTTGGAAGGGACTTTGGAGGTCTTCTAGTCCAACCCCTTACTCAACCCAGAAGCAAGGGGGGGGGATGGAAAGAGACAGCGGCACTGAAAGGCCAGAGCGGAAAATTGGGGGGGGAGGTGGGGCAGGGGAGAGAGGGAGCGAGGTCAAGGTGTAGATTGAGATGTGGGGGGGAGGACAAAATTTAGGAGGGTGGGGGCTTCCTGAAACAATAGTACAGGTACATGGTAATTCCATACTCTTTGTTCTCTTAAATACACTCACAAACACAGAGGGATATTCTCTCTCTTCCCATATATGGACCTTGGAACGTGAGAACTGGGGAGGGACTCCCACTGTTAAAACTCACATCACAGAGCGGGAGGGCTCCCTCAATGGTGACCCGGCCTATAGTTCCCATCATCCCCTGAAAGGAGTACCCATCCCTCTCTGATTGTGGCGGCCCATGTTCCTCTCCTGCCTCGATTGTACCATGCACACAGCCCTTTAGAGATGTAGGCGTGCCAAAGACACACAAGGGCCATCCTTTCTCAGCCATGTGTGGCCGGGGATAATGAGCCCCTTGTCTTCCAGCCATCTTGGGGAGGGCCAATGAATCCCAGGGATGGGAGTGATCAAATGAGCATAGCACTTTCGCTCTGTGTGTGTGTGTGTTGTGTGAATGCACCCCCAAAAGCCACCAGATCGCCCAAAAGCTGGCTAGCGACAAAACCATGCCAAAAAAAAAAAAAAGAGAGAGAGAGAGAAATGTGGAAGGGGGAGTAGTAGACCCCTTCCTCCCCATTTGAAAAGATTAAGGGGAGGGGAGGGAAATGAAGACATTAAGAGAGTACATTAAGGAGTTTCTAATTGGGGGGGAGGGCAAAAAAAAAGGTAAAAAGAGGGTAATTTTGGGCCAGGAAATGAAATTGAGCAGGAAATACAGTGGGGGTGGGGCATTCAGGTTTAGGGGGGAACCGCCCCCCCCTCAAGGGAAAAGATGAGGATAAGGAAAGGAAGATGGGGCAAAGGGGTTGCATTTTTTGGCTTCTCACCCATTGCTAGGAAAGGCATTAGAGGGAGCTTGGATGGGGGGGGGGGAGAGAAGGAATCATTTCTTTGAAGGTGGGGGTGGCACAGAGGAAGCCATGGGGATGCTTCACGTCTCCTTACAATTGGGGGGGGAGGGGAAGGAGACACCCCCACCACAAATTGGGAAACAGGTCCGAGGGTGGGAGATGATGATTTGGGGGGGGCACAAAGGCTATGGGGATACTCCCATAGCCCCCCCTTGATTTACAGGGGGGAGGGAGAAAGGAGACACCCCCCCCACCTCCCAGAAACTGGGAGAAGTCATCAACGGGGGAGGGGGAAGAATGAATCATTCTTTCTAAGATTTGGAGAGGGGGGGGCCACAGAGGATACTTCATGTCCCCTCATACTTGGGGGGAGGAAACCCCAAAAAAATTGGGAGAAAAAAAAGACACTGAGGAAGAAAATGGGGGGGCGGCGGCACAGAGGATACTTCCATGTCCCCTCCTGTTTGGGGGGGCTGGAGACCCCACAAAAAATTCAGAGAAAAAAGGCACAGAGGATATTTCATGTCCCCTCATACTTGGGGGGCGGAGACCCCCCAAAATTCAAAGGAAAAAAGGCACTGAGGAAGAATATGGGGGGGGGCACAGAGGATACTTCATGTCCCCTCATATTTGGGGGAGGAGACCCCCCAAATAATTGGAAAAAAAGGGGGGGAAGGGAACTGAGGAAAAAGATGGGGGGGGAAAGAGACCCTTCAGCCCCGTGACTTGCAGGGTGAGGGGGGGGGAGAAAGAAAGGAGACCCACACACACACAGAAATTGTGAGGAGAAGCAGCTCTAAGGGGGGGGGTTATGTGTGTGAAAGGAGAGGGGAAAAAAGGGGAATATAAAGGGAATATTGGGGGGGGGTCTTGAGGGGAGAAAAAAAACCACCCCGAGAATGAAATACCTCAGGGAAGCCAAAATAGGGACTCCCCCCCACCTCACTCCCCCCCTCCCGCCGCTTCCCTGAGGAAGCCCCCACAAAATGGCGGCCGGGAGACAAGATGGCGGCCTAACGTGAGGGGGGGGTGATGTGTGAGGAGAGTTGTGGGGGGGGGGCGGCGAACCGGCGGGTCTTACCATGGCGCCGGGCGGTTGAGGCGGCGAAGAGAAAGAAGAAGAGGCGGCGGTGCTTTTCGGCGGTCCGGGGCTGAGGCGGCAGAGGCGCGGCTTGGTGGCCTCGTCAGGCTCCGCGGCGGCTTCGACTGGCGCTGCGCGACTGGCGAGGCCCGAAAGGAACTACGGCCACGCCCCGCCTTGGCCCTTCCGCTTTAAGGCACCGCCCGAGGAGGAGCCGCTTCCGGTCCGGCGGCGCGGAGCCTGTCGGGAAAGCGAGTCCGATTATCCCTCCCCCCCCCACGCGCATCGCCGCCGCTGCCTTTCTCTTTCTTGTTGAATGGAGTTTTGGGCGGGACGAAAAAGCAGAGCGTGTGGGGGGGGTCGTTGCCATAGGAACGGGAAGCCATTTTCCCCGGGCCTTCTCATTTCCTTCATACCAGCCATTAAAAAAAAAAAAAGCCCAATTATTATTATTTTAAATAAATAATTCTGTATGAGTCCCGTCGGGTATAACTTAAAAACAAAATATGTCTTTTTTTTTTTGCCCCCCTCCCACACGTCTGCCTCCTCGTGGGCGCTGGAAAAGACTCATGGGAAGTCCCGGGGTTACATGGGAAATGTAGTTTTTTTTTTTAATTAAAGGCACTGAAAAGGGAGGAAGAGAAAGTCTGGGAGAAAGTGAATTAATGATTTTTTTATTTTTTTTTTAGGGGCGGGGAAGATGTCACTCGAGGCTTATTTTCTGAAATTAAAGGCTTTTCGGATTATCTGCTGGTTTAATTCCCAAATCTTCATGCAAGAGGCACGGCTAAGCTTTTGTGCAGAACATTTTTAACTGCTTTTTTCCTTGCTAAATAATACTGGGATCTGTTGCAAAATCCCAATTTACAGAATCTTAATGAAGAAAAGGGGGAAAAAATCTTGTATTTTTCTCCCAGATCTTTGTTCATCTTTTTCTCCCAACTTGATTTTTGCACTTCAAGGTGACAAACCTTTTTTTTCGAAATTATCCGATGTCTTATTTTTAAAAAAGCCATGGGAAAACATTTACCATGGAAGAACGATCTTTGATTTAGGAATAAGAACACACACAAAAAAGTGGGAAAGGCAGTTTCAAAAATCATAAAACACTTTTTTAAAACTGGGTTGAGCTTCTGCAGAGTGCAGAGTTTTTTTACCTAAGAAAGAGAAAAGTTGCTGATTCTTTTCTTTATTTTCACCTGAAAATCATTTCCGTAATGATTTGAGCATAAGCAAGGTCTTCTCTGCTCCAAAAAACGCAAGAGCCTTTTTTAAAAGTTATTTTTAAATGTCAAAAGGAAGTAGGCTTTTATTGATTGGCTGATTGATTATATTTCCACCAGCAACCTCAGGAGAGCAAAACAGCTCACTTAGCAATTTTTAATCGCTAACACAACTCTCACTGCAGCAAGAGACGGAAAAACCAGCTTCTGGGCTGACCCACCGTTCCTTCAAAAGGAAAGCACTAAGCTAATGCTTAATCCAAATTAAAATTGTTTTCTAGGTTGCCTTGAAGCTTAAATGAAGAAAACAGGCTGGGGAAAAAACAACAACAACCTTGATCAAGATAACCCTAACCAAAAGCATGATTTACAAAAATGCGTTTTATAGGTCTGTGGCAGTGAAGACAGATGATTTGTCTTACTGGACAGGTAGTCCTCGACATATGACCACAATTGGGCCCAAAATTTCTGTTGTCCAGTGAGATATTCGTTAAGTTAAATTTTCCCCATTTTACGACCTTTCTTGCCACAGTTGTTAAGTGAATTATTGCAGTCGTTAAATCAGTCGCCTGGTTGTTAAGTGAATCTGGCTTCCCCATTGATTTTGCTTATCAGAAGGTCGCAAAAAATGGCGTGGTCTTGGGGCACAGCAACGGTCATAAGTATGAGCCAATTGCCAAGCATCTGAATTTGGATCCCGTGCCCCTGGGGATGCTGGAAAGGTTTGTAACTGTGAAAAACAGTCATAAGTCACCTTTTTTAATGCCGTTGTAACTTTGGAATGGTCACTAAACGAACTGTTGCCACACGAGGGGGAGGAGCAAAGCGGGAACAGTGACTGAGTCTACTCTAATTCATCATAAATTAGAAAAATAAATAAAAATGAAAGGTAAATAAACGCTAAACTGGGCTATAGGACACAACAGGTTCCTCCAGATTTCCAGGAGATGAGCGCAATGGGTGAAAAGCCAAGATTGCCCCAATGACGAGGGTTGATCAGAATCCAGTAGAGGCAACTAAACCAGCTCTCGGATGCCGCAGAGGAAAAAGTTTGAAAAGTATAGCGAGGAAGGCCGTAGTTTTGCAGTTTTAAACCCTTTTGCAAAATCCCCACAGCCTGCTAAGAGAATTAAAAAAAAAACAACAGAGAGAGAAATAGAATTATTAGATTTTAACATGCTCACAAAGTCTCTTGTTACCCCAATGCTGGCTTTTTCCCAATCATAGACTAGGAAGGCAGAATACAAAAGAGTTGGAAGGGACCTTATAGGTCATCTAGTCCAACCCCCTTCCGAAGCAGGAGACCCTACACCATTTCTGACAGATGGGCAGTCCAGTCTCTTCTTGAAAGCCTCCAGGGATGAAGCTCCCACAACTTCCAAAGGCAACTTCTGTTCCACTGGTTAATTGTTCTCCTTGTCAGAAAATTCCTCCTTATTTCCAGGTTGAATCTCTCCTTGATCAGTTTCCATCCACAATTCCTTGTCTGGCCTTCGGGTGCTTTGGAGAATAGCTTGACCCCCTTCCTCCTCTCTGTGGCAGCCCCTCAAATATTGGAAGATGCTATCCTGCCTCCCCTGGTCCTTCTCTTCCCTAGACTAGCCAGGCCCAGTTCCTGCAACCGTTCTCCATATTTTATTATGGAAAAAGAAAAGAGAGAAAGAGAGAGGGGGGGGGCACTCATAAATTATATGCCCTTTTTAGGGAGGGAAAAAAAGACAAGGTTCTGGTTTGCCAGCAGGAAAACTGCCCAGCTTAAAAAGAGCGTGAAGCAGAAACAAGCATACCCTAAATATTTTGACTGGGCTCTGCCCGAATTCACAAAAACCCTGCTTAACATCAATCCAGCTACTGCATCATTTTCTGTTGGGGTTTCCTTAGTTACCTCTTCCTTTTCTCCTTTTGACGCTCCACCACTCTTTGAACAAAAGAGGGGAGGGGGCATTAAAAATGGGGCTTTGACCAAGATTATGTCCCTGCTTAACCTGGTTTAAAGCTCAGCCACTGGAGCGGGGCTAAAACCTTGCAACGGCTCCAATCTTGGGTACTTTTTCAAGAGGTTATGCAAAGACAGTTGGCTTGGTTCCTTGATGGGTCAGGAAGTGGGGTAATTCAGGAACCGAGTTAAGGTATTGGAGCCTTGCTGTGCAATCATTTATTTCTTAAGCTATGGCCTCTGCCCGGGATTTTCCACTATGTTTTATTCCTTATCTTCTCTTCTCTTCTCTTCTCTTCTGTTCTTTTCTTCCCTCCTTCCTGTCCTTTTCCCTTCCCTTCCTGCTGTCTTTTTCCCTTCCTCCTTCCTGTCTTTTTCCCTTCCCTTCCTCCTGTATTTTTCCCTTCCTCCTTCCTGTCCTTTTCCCTTCCCTTCCTCCTGTCTTTTTCCCTTCCCTTCCTCCTTCCTGTACTTTTCCTTTCCCTTCCTCCTGTCTTTTTTCCCTTCTTCCTTCCTGTCTTTTTCCCTTCCCTTCCTCCTATCTTTTTCCCTTCCCTTCCTCCTGTCTTTTTCCCTTCCCTTTCTCCTATCTTTTTTCCCTTCCCTTCCTCCTTCCTGTACTTTTCCTTTCCCTTCCTCCTGTCTTTTTCCCTTCCTCCTTCCTTCTTTTTCCCTTCCTGTCCTTTTCCCTTCCCTTCCTGTCTTTTTCCTTTTCCTTCCTCCTGTCTTTTTCTCTTCCTCCTTCCTGTCTTTTTCCCTTCTCTTCCGCCTGTCCTATTTCCTTCCTCCTTCTTGTCCTTTTCCCTTCCCTGCCTCCTCTCCTTTTTTCCCCTTTCCTTCCTCCTGTCTTTTCCCCTTCCCTTCCCTCATTTCATTCAACCTGCTTCTTATTTTCCCCTCCCTCCCCCCCCCCCACTTCCTTTGTTTCAGCCATCTATATTTTCATGGGGAAGGGGCAGCATTTAGAGGTCGAGTTTTTTTTGCTACAGGTAAACAATTTGCAGCTCCACAAAAGAACAAGAAAATCAACCTCCTTTTCCCTATCTCCTTGCCCACTTCCCCAAGGCTAAAGCACAAAAAAGAGAGGATTGCATCCTGCAATTAATTTTTAATTTGCTGCTGCACAAAGAAAAGAAGGGAGGGGGCCAGAGCGGGTGGAAGGAAGCCCGATCCCCTTCCCCTTTCTTAACCATGACTGCAGTTTTCCCAAATAGGGAGACTTCCCAATGGAGAGATTAGCATCCCTGTTTCTTCCCAGGTTGGTGAAATGCTCACAGAATCCGAACACAGAATAGAAATCAATACTGTATATTGTTTAAAAAAAAAAAAAACAGAATTCTCACTGACTGTCCAAGCAGAGGCGGGAGAAATAGTACCGCTCAGGAGTGAAATCCAGCAGGTTCTGACAGGTTCTGGAGAACCGGTAGCGGAAATTTTGAGTAGTTCGGAGAACCGGCAAATATCACCTCTGGCTGGCCCCAGAGTGGGGTGGGAATGGGGATTTTGCAGTATCCTTCCCCTGGAGTGGGGTGGGAATGGAGATTTTGCAGTATCCTTCCCCTGGAGTGGGGTGGGAATGGGGATTTGCAGTATCCTTCCCCTGGAGTGGGGTGGGAATGGAGATTTTGCAGTATCCTTCCCTGGGAGTGGGATGGGAATGGAGATTTTGCAATATCCTCCCACCAAGAGTGGGGTGGGAATGGAGATATTACAGTATCCTTCCCCCAGGAGTGGGGTGGGAATGGAGATTTTGCAGTATCTTCCTCCTGCCACGCCCACCAAGCCACACCCACAGAACCGGTAGTAAAAACAATTGGATTTCCCCATTCCCATTTCCACCCATGCATGCACGCGCGACCCCCCCCTGCGCTCCTCCTGCTTTCGGCACGTGATGGCACAGTGGGCCCGGTAAGCCTGTTTTTTTGCCCTCCCCAGGCTCCAGAGGCTTTCTAGGAGCCTGGGGAGGGCTAAAGCAGTCTTCCCCACACCCCCAGAGGCCAGAAA